CAGGTCCTGCTTCCCATGGGTCTGTGCGTGAGTTGGTACAAGGAGCCCAAGGATTGGATGTGTTGTTGGAGGAGGGAGGGGCTGTCCAGGGGCTACCAATCACAGGAGTGCTTGAGTGGACTGCTGTTAGGGAGAGAAAAGATTCACTTTGAAGCTGCTGTTTTGAATGCACTCTTGCATCACACTGATGTTCATGTGATGCGTCTGTGATGATCCACCTACCTACAGAGTCCCACGGGTCAGAAGAGACGTTACTGGTGGGCTTAGCAGAGTTCCAAGGGTCACTAGGTGGCAGAGGGGGCTCAGATGAGGATCCAAATATGTCCACTAGATCCAACATGGCAGACTACAAGCAAAGGAAAACATCTCAGGATCAAACATTGTCTTATTTGTTTCCAGGTTTGTGTAAGTTAATGAGAAACATTCAAAGCACCCAATCCTACTGAGGACAGCCGGAGAACTCACAGAGTCAGTGTGACTGTAAAATCCACTGACAACTGTATTAACACTAATGATTTCACTTTGTATTCAAATGAAGTTAAATGAATTGTCTGAGTAAAAATGTGTTATGTAAATATCTGAGAGTCAAACTGAGTAAGAAACTATTGTACACTGAAAGTACAGAAATGTGCACTTGCTGGTGTTCCAGTTAAGAGTTATTGATCTGTTGCAATTTTCAGCTCTACTGAAATATAATGTTTTTTTCTGGGAAGAGAAATCTATTCAGTGTTCCAAAAAAAGACAAACACAGATCTGCTTTTTGGTATTAACTCATGAAAAGAAAAGATCCATGGTATTCACAGAACAATGGCAACTTTCTAAAGTCAGACTGAATCTGCTGCTCTGTTTATTCCCTTACCAATAAAGAGCTTACTGTAGCTCACTTGAAAATGTTTCTTTGCAGTTATGTTTCACTGCTGCTGCTGCTGCTGAAAACACACATTTACAATTGCTATGATAATTTCTGACGCCCTTCTGAGTTACACAGTCCATTGCTCTATTACTGTAGAGTATAATTTATTAATAAGATCCACCACAGCATCTGCATCTTGCATCTGGTGTTTGTGCTTTATGTATGTTGTAATGAGCGTACATTATATAATGAAATGAAAATTGCTTGAGGTCATTCAGAAACGGTGTCATCGTTTCATAAATTTCTCAGGTTGTACTGTTTAGAGACCACTCTGCAGCACAGCAGTTGCAGAAGAGAATCCTACAGGACAGTAAACAGGAAGATATCTACCTACAGAGAAATT